GAGAGATTAAAAATATGATGGGGTCAGTAAAAATGCCTATTGTAGAGTGAGCCAGCTCTGCGAGGATCACCAAAGGACGGCGAGGAGAACGCGCTGAGCGACTCTACTCAGTTGCGACCTTAGGATGGACCGTAGCGGTCGGTATACGAACCATCCCAGCGAATCCATATCTACCGGTGGATCACGTGACTAAGTGTCCCGCGCGCCGCTGCTCCCCTCGCGAAGGTCATGTGACACTCGTGCGGCACCGGTGACTCGTAGCGCCCTCCTGAGGCCATCGTATGGTGAGACGCAGTAAGAGCAGGCAGCCATGCCTGAGGAGGAATAGTCGATGCAGGCGTCGCCTGGCTCTGTCGGCACTGCAGGAATGTTCCCTGGAAACGACGGGTATTTCGAAATTGGGAAAATAGCCGGACCAGTTAGGGCGCCGTTCTGGTTCTGAGCAGATATGGCGAAAGAGTGGAACGACAAAAATAAACGGGTGCGACATTTGCCATCGGTAGATTGCTGTACGAAATTTGCTATATATATATTGGTCTGAACTTCGACAGTTGTTGCTTTTGAGAATTTCTCTTGCTCGTTTACGAGGCACTGAATTGCGTAGAAGCGAGATTAGGTTTTGCAAACTCAAGTGGACTTTATAGGCTGGTCCTCCGAGCTATGTCTAGACTGTCTGGTTGGTTTTTTGGTCCTAGATATTTCACATTCCGGATAAAAGTCTAAGAATTTCATGCTGTTTGGTCGGTGAGGTCTTTCTAGGATTAACTAACAACATGTTAATTGGTATTTTGTATTGTAAACTAATATCTGACCACAATGTAAGTTATTAAGCTGTCATTGCTTGAATCTATAAATAATAAAAAAGCATTTAATTTTTTTAAAGCAAAGAAAAACGTGATACACTAAAATCAAAGTTGTTTTCACACACGTGCGCAATAAAAGTACATATCACTGGCTTTCGTTTAAGCAGTTTTATCACCTTATTAGCTTCAGTCAGAGGCACATTATATCGTACATATCGACAAAATAGTAGTTTGTAACGGTGTTGAGATAGATGTATCACTAGCACTTTTGCACAACAAACACCAACCAGAGAATAAGTTGGTGTTTTACCACAATTTTAGATAGGAGCAAAGTCACGTCGAAAATCTAGAATGTTCAGTTGCGAATTACCGCAATAGAAATAAAGCTAATTTTCTTCTCTTGAAATTCGCAAAAGTTAAGTTAAAGTTATCAAAATTGTTCGATCAACTACAAGGTATATTCAGGTTCTATCTTCGTGAATGCGTTTCGCGTTTAATTCTAGGATATAAGTGGGAGAAAACAATAATCACGGAGTAAGCAATTTGTATGAGGTGCCCTGGTAAATGCATTGTATGTCTTGTTTACATTCTTTTACTTCGTAAATGTAAATGTTTTGGCAATATTTTGTGGGGAAACTGGATTAGTTTGTACGAGGTACAGTGACGTCAGGTCACATTGCATCAAATGTTGCGCTACATTTAGCAAGGAAACTGAATTAGTGCATAGGTCATATGACGTCAACTTTTCCGCTAAATTTAGCGGGGAAGCTGAATCGGTGTATAGGTCATGTGACGTCAATTTAGGAGGCCAGAAAGGTCCACAAAATCGGCGGAGGGGGGTAGCTAATGAATGGTATCCCATTAAAAGTTTTTAGCGCCGTTGAGTAAAAATTATACGCGTCCAAAAGTTTAATTATGGCTTCTTTATATTTTATAAGTGTCGTCGAAAATATTTCCGATGAACATTGCGATGTTTTTCGGAGGTTGATATACAAAAAAGTTAGAGATGGACGCAAGGAAGAAACAACAACCGGGAAAAACTACAATGCCGTTACAATTCCGTTCAGGATTTATAAAAATGGCGTGGGACGCTGGGCTTGTGTTCATTCATACATGAATGGAGACGCAGGGGAGGCTGGTGAAATGTACAATTATGGTGAAAGTATACACTGAAACCCTCACTAATTTGTCCCGATAGAGTTATTCAGCTGTCAAAGTTATAAAAACGGCAACTGAATTAGCCCCCTTTTCCCTCTTTCGTCGTTGTTAATCGTAGAATGCTCTATTTCAGTTTGAAACCAACCTTCTCGCCAATAGCGCTAGCAAAACCCTTTGAAATGACTTGGGTATGAAATACTGTATTTCTCACCTTATGACATCGACGTAATGGACGATACCCAAAGTGGAAACACAATCGACAATTTATAATGAAATGAGTGTTCGCTTGGGCTAATTAATAATGGCCCAGAGCACTGTACGGCTGGACATACATTATACGAGCGTGTGATTAACAGTACCTGCAGTCCGTGCGTTCTTATTTATGTCAAGTGTCCTTGATGTGTTTTCTGCGTTTATAGGCTTTAGAGGTTTGCTTCACTTGGCAGAGATTAATACCAGAATTTATGGCGACCCCCGAAGATCCAGTCATTAGTATGAACAAAAGCTTTATACGCAATATTATTGCAACGCGTGAAATCCGCAACTGGTGGTCATACTTTTGTTAAAGAATTGTAAGGCTTAGCGTTTCCACAGACACTAAAGACTCCGCGGTTTTACCAGGGCAAACAAAACTAACTGAGAAAAGAAAACGTGCAATTAAAAAGAACTTTACTTTATTTGAGGTTTTCCAGGGATCTTCATATTGCCTATAGTCAAGTCAAATCGCACCGGTGACGCCACAGGACCCCAGAAAAACAAGTGTTGATCCCTATTTTGAGTTCTGTGAAATATAGAACGGAGAGGTCTGTATCATGGGTAAATTATATCTAGATTATCGCTACAGGGGAAAAGGGAACGAAATTGTGAATTAAAGGAGCGGATTTGCTATGTCGGAGTAACCTTTGAAAACAAACGAAGTATTTATGACTATATGAAGTCTAAATAGAAAACAATTAATATTAAAATAAATATTATCATTTGAAGCACTGTCCTTTATCTCATGTGAGTTATATAAACAATTCAAATACCAATATGTTTCTGAACACTAAATGTAGCTACTTTTTTATTTATTATAAATTATGCGCGTCTTTATAATGAACCATGCAGCCGCCAGGGTTATGTTCTACGGCTTCTACAACATTCAAAAGTTGTGCTCAAGATTATTCGAGGTTTGTACGATTTCGTGAGCAATTGCCCATATACTACATTCCGGTGCCTAAACAAACGAGAAGGTTAAGCAAACTTGTAGTTTCTGAGAGAGAATAAAGAAAGCGAACTGTACGTGTCTTGCAGCTTGTTCGAAGGGCCCTTGCAATCGCTCACAGGAACTGACACCTCTTGCATCAATCTGCTTGCGCACTCCGGCGTTTGCTCGGAACACACCTGGTCGCAGACTTCCTTCAGCTCAAGTTGTCGACTAAGCTCCTGTCGAACATGAGGTAAAAGAGTGACGCGCGGCGAAAGCGCACGACCTGAAAGCCTAGAGACTTTCGGAAACAAACCCTGCTGCTTTGTCAGTCCACGACAAGCGTGCGTCGACTTTGATTATGGCCTCGCCGACGGACACCTTCCCCCGAATATCAACCTTAGAAGTGATGCTGGGTTCGGCGAGGCAGGGTGGATTGCTACGGACTCTGCCTCGTGACCTGGCCTTGTGGTGTTTTTATCTCGTGTCGCTGGCGATCTTGGGGAGCGCCTTAAGACTGTGCTGGATTCGCTACAGACTATTTCGACGGCAGCATGCTATTCTTGAAGGAGTGCCCAGGGATTCGTCAAACATGGTCGTTTCTGGAATCGGCAAGGTCCTCACGGTGATAAGGCATCCTTTAGAACCCGCCGTCGGTGAGCGCCTCTGAGTTTTTTTGGTGGCTTCATCTTGAAAAAAAGAAGATAATGGTACTCTGAAAGTAACTTCTATGCAATTAACCCTAAATTATCGTCTGTAGTCTCCAGGTTCCCTGGCGTTGCTTTCTGGTTTCTGTAGCAAAGCCAGGTACAAATCATTATATGATCTCACTTGCACTTTCCCTATCAACGGGTGTAGTGTTTTGTGACGAGAGATTTGTATTTAAAGTATATGTACTCGTATTGTGGCCTCGTGATGTTGCATATGAGCTGAGGTTAGTGTATATTTCATTTTCATTATTTTTACTGTGTGAGCTTGAGTATACTGTTGTTTGTTTTTTCTGTCCAAATGAAATTTTGTTGTATCTAAACCTACGTCCACTCGAGGACGTTATGAAAACGTCCAGGCGTGATCGTGACTCGAAAGGCCTCCAGTGCTATTTAACGGCAAAAAGCTGACTTGTCATCGAGGTTACTGCGCGAACAAGCGACATTACAGCGGCTGTTTGAAGTTTGCTGTTACTCCCCACTTGCCCCGAAAACGCTATCTTTTTTGGCGCCTTTTCTCATCCACAAATTACCTGCACGCATGCTGAACATTCGTTTTTTTTTTAGCTTCAAGTTACCGGGGCGATAGTGACACGATATATTTTCTATTTAGAGACAATCTAAACAGACCTTTCGCGTCCACGTTTACTACCTTATTTTATTAACTAGGTCTGTTCATCAACTATAGGTGTTATCGTTACCCAACATGAAAAAATAATCAGGATCTAAATTATATAAAAAGCTTAATCGAGTGACGATAAGTGAAACCATAGACAGCTTTGGATCTACTAAACGTAAACTGGGGACTGTAGCTTCCACTGCATGAGTCGGGGCCATACAGGTCGGTTAGTGGAAGATTTGAATACAAGTAAGCGTTGGGGGGGGGGGGGGGGGGGGGGGCTGACATCGAAGCTGAAATTAGCACTAGAATTAACTCTCACTGCCGTGTAATTTTAACAGGTACCCCGATTCAATTTTTACTTTGCGAAAAAGTACTTAATTTTCATAGTTGAACCTGTGTATTGACTTTTCAAGAGCATAAGATGTGCCGGTGTGGTGTGATTGTGAGGTTGGTTGAACTCAGTTTTTGCAGGGACGTCTATTCCGCGGCAATAATTATATTACCCTGTATATCTTTGTGCAGTGATGTTCGAAGCGTTTTGTGGCTTCTCGGAGCTTACAAGTCGGGAAGGCATCTTTCAATTTTGGATTGGTCTTCAACCCTTCGTCGTGCTCCACACCGCAGAAACTATAGAGGTACGCACAGAACCGTCGTACGTTTTCTTCCGATAAAGTTATAAGGCTGCTTGAAATGTTATTTTGAGAGTGCATTGTGAACGTAGTGGACACTATACGAAACAACGAGGTCCACGTTTCTTGCGCTTAACAAAAGTTTAAAATTAGGTCAATTTTATGTAAATGTTTTGCACCAGTCCTTCACCCAATATTCTTGTGTGTTAGACATTTGTACCCAGCGAAGCGTAACAAACAGAAGTGGTAAGTTTGTTAATATGAAATGCGGGAAAATACATAGCAGTAATAAGATCGAACACGTGAAACGCAAGAATCAGCGGTATGAGAGGACGAAATTTAAACTAGCTCTGGCAAGTCTTATTTGTCATCTTATTCCTGCGGATATATGGGACTGAAAAGAAATGCTTCGCTTGCATCGCGCAGACTCCCAGTTTGTACGTTATTTTGTCATGCCTGTTTCTTATTGCTTCAATATGGCTTATGCGATTAAGTGAATGTTTTATGCGAAATATTTATGTAATCTGCTTATGTCAACGGTTTTAGAAGTTCACAATTTTTAATATTAGTTCGACACCGCCCTTGTTCTTTTTTTTAAATTTCGTATAGAGACATATATCGTACCGTCGTAGAAAGAAGTGAAGACACCTTGACTTGCATTAGAATGTGTACTTGCTTAAGACTGATAAATCCGAAAGACACTCGCTGGTTAAACTTTTGTTTTTCCGGTTAATTCTAAAAATTTCTATATTCAAAATCTCGAAGTCGAAAAATTGGCAGCAACCTTTTACTCCAAAGTACTATACCGTATTTACTCCAGTAATAACCGCACTATTTATGAACAAGGCCCTTGCGTCTACTTTCCCACAGAACACATAAAGAGCCAATCATTACGTTGCGCATAAATAATATAGCGAATAGCCAGATCAAGAACACGATTCTCCATACAAATGCAATCTTCACAGATGGGATCTTCGCACGAAGATGTTACCTCTGTCCTGTAAACAGCTGGAATCATGCTGTCGAACGCGGTGATTGGCAATCTGCGTGCTCCGCGGAAAGGCAAACCTTCAAGCTTTCGTCCTTAACAGTGTGGCCATTACTCGAGTAAATACGGTAATGCGCGAAATGTAGCATTTACGGAACACTCGCTTAACTTTCTTTAGGAAGCATTGAACAATTCTTTCGGGGAGTGAACAACCTATATTTTATAAATTTAGCTGGGAAACTAATTTGGTGCATACATCACGTGAATATTGATTTGACTTCAAAATATAGCGGGGAAACTGAATTTTTTATACGTCCATAACGTCAGTTCACGTGACATCGATTTTCCCACTAAATTTAGAGGGAAAACTTGCAGGTCACGTGGCATCCATTTCTCCACCAAATTTAGCGCAGAAAGCGAATTCGTGTATTTGTCACGTGACATCCGGTCACGTGACGTAAATTTCCCCGCTAAATCTAAGGCGGAAATTAATCTAGTGTACAGGTCACGTGATTCAGCTGAGGTGACGTCCATTCCCCCCCCCCCCCCCCCCCCCCCCCCCCCTCAAATTTAGAGGAGAAATGGAGTTGGTGTATAAGTCGCGCGACGTGACTTATACACCAACAATATACTGTGACATCAATTTTCCCAAGCGGGGAAACTGAATCAGTGTTAGGGCTCGTGACAGCTTGCGTGATATAAATGTTCCCGTTAAGTTTGGCGGGAAAACTGAAGTTGTGTTAAGGTCACCTGACGTCAGTTTCCCCCATTAAATGTAGCGTGAGAGGCACGGGTGGACTGACGGACAAAACTGGAATTGGGAGGGGAGGGGGGGATTACAAAGCATCTCAGGTTTAAAAAAAAAGCCTGGACAGTTAATATTACTCTCGTTGAAGCTGCGCTGCCCCAAGTCAACGGTGTCTCTGAGACGAGGCCGCTCTTTGTCTTTCTGTTTTACAGCGATATCTATTACGGACTCTTTTCCAATGCTGGAAATGACGTCCGTTATTGATGTGGTCGTTGTTGATCTTGCGGTAGTCATAGCAGAAGTAGTAGTAGTAGTAGTAGTAATAGTTGTTGTTGTTGATGTTAAAGCTCGTGCCGGGAGATACGATTTAACGCGGTATGGAACTAGAAAGAAACAAAAGCGTTCGGAACAAAATGGTCAGATGTATCTTTTGTTTCGAACGCTTTTGTTCACGCTCCCCATGATGCGTGAACGCGACGCCGATGTCCAACGACTTCGCCGTGACTTGTCGCAGCTATCGCTATGTACTGTACCTGGATTAACATAGCACTGATAAATTATTTTTATTTACTAGTATAGTCACTATGAGCAAACCACGTGAACTTCGTTTAATTTCATCTTTTTTCCCTTTAACTTCGGAGGATTAGCAAGGTGGGGCTCATTGTCAACGTCCGCTTAGGAAAGCCGTTAAATCTGGCTTCATTTGTGGGTCCTGACACAAGTCTCTCTAAGCGCGTGGCCTTACTATTCGTTGTTCCGGTTTCTGACGTAGACTACACTATTTCAACTTGTTGCATGAAGGCGAGCTAGTGTTTTATTACCAGAAAGATGTGATTACTTTTCACTAACTATTATTATTATTTTTCTGTTCTTGAGTTGTGTTTGTGGGAATATATTTTTGCCTGATAATTGTCACGATTAGTTCACAATATTCAATTTCAGAAACATTTTAAGTTTAACAGAACACAATTCTGGTGTCGCCACCGCTTTTTGCTATGCAATTTAAATTATAAATTTCTTACAATAAAAGTAATGGCTCCCAGAAATAAAATCCTGCATATGGTTCAGTGGCTGGCATTCCATGAGTTATCCAGTATTTTTCCATCAGACATTTCTAAATCATAATCATAAACGGTCTTGTCGAGTATCCTTCCATGATATTTATTTATAAAAACTTTCCAATGAACAATTTCTATCAAGACGACAAGAATCCGTGTTAGTTTAAGATAGGTGCTCCTCATAGTTTCGAAATAAAGTCTGAGCGTGAACTAACGCCCGTGTTCTGAGTGAACACTAGTTCACATCTGAATGTGAAAGAGAGAGCAGAAATTAGGTGAAAAGTAGTAATATTTATTTGATCAGACTGATGAACAGATCAGCCTCATAAGTGAAGCCAGTGCAGATTTGAATTATCAACGAAACAATTAGCTGACAGCTACAATCATGCTCAGGCAGATGCTATAAAGTGTGATACTTCAGTGAAGTTGAATGGATAAAAAAAAAAAAACTGCATAAATCAGTGTCACCTAAATGTCCGGTATTTTTTTTCTTCTTTAACCGGTTTAAATATATGTTTACTTAATAATTCCGTTTATCATCGGAACACGGTGAGCAACGCCAGCATGGCGACAAACGCACTCGTCGAACAACGTCTTTACTTTCTCGTTATTTGTCCTCTGCTCCCAACTGCCATTACTCTGGCTCCTTGGACATAACACCCCTCCCCTCTTGGACGCGGTACCTGGGGGGCGGCCGTTTCGTCCGGTTAGAGCTGCGCGGAGCCGTTCTCTTTAGCTGCCTCTATGGTGCCGTAGTTTCTGGTTCTTCATCGTCCTGGCCCATGCCCCATGTGAGCGTCGCTGATGCCCCATTATTTGCATCTTCTTCAAGGCGACGTTTGCGAATCTTGTTCAAGTGTCAGCGAGTGATGTCAGTTGCACGCTTAACAAGCCACGAACGTCGAGCCATTGGTCTAACTAGAGTGCCAGGAATTCAGTTGCGCTTCTTTAGAACCTGCCGAACCATTACTTCTTCTCCGGGTTGCAGTTACCTGTTTGGTGGTAACTTGTCTGTTACTATTGGTGACTCTGCTGTCGGTACGAAACGATCGAGGAGAGTTGGTAGCTCCCGACCAAACATGGCCTTAGCTGGAGTAACACCTGTTGTTTGGTGAACCGTACTATGCTGGCGGAACAAAAACCGTGAAAGTCTCAGGTCCACCGATGCAAACGGTTCTCGAGCCAGCGCTCACTTCAACTCGCCAACGTATCGTTCTGCCTGCCCGTTGGTAGCAGGATGGTATGGAGCCGACGTTACGTACCGAACTCCCTTGTCATTGTAAACGTTCTGTATTTCGACAGACAATAACGCTGTTCTGTTGTCTGACACCACCTTGTGTCGTATCCCAAATGTCGCAAACAGTGAGCGCAGTTCATCAATGACGGATGCCGATATGGGACGAGCTACTTGTCTCACCTCTACCCACTTAGTATAGGCGTCCACAACTATCAAAAAGGTACGCCCCTCCAAGGGACCAGCAAAATCTACATGGAGCGTATGCCATGGTGACGATGGTTTTGTCCACGAAGGAATCGCAGCTTTTGCCGGATTCGTCTGCGTGCGCTGGCATGGCTCGCATGCTCTAACTGTTGTTTCAATGTCATCATCCAAACCTGGCCACCATAAATAACTGCGCGCACAGGCTTTCATGGCCACGACTCTTCGATGGCCTGCGTGGACCAGTGTCTTTGCTAGCTTGCGGGCTGCTGTTGGCATGACGACTCTTGCGCCCCAGGTGATGCATCCGCGATGAATTGCCAACTCTGTGGCTCTTCTGCGATAAGCTGTGAAGTCGTCTCCCTTCAACTGCTGTACCGTGCCCTCTTGAATCGTTCTGTAAAGTTTGGACAGGGTGGCATCTTCCAGCGTTAATCTTGCCACCAACTCGGCAGTAAGAGGCGGACTTGGAAGGGCTTCGAACATGAGGATGCCACCTGGAGTGTGAGGTTCCTCGATGCAATCTGGTAACGGGAACCTACTTAGCGCGTCTGCGTTCTGATGCAACTTGCCGGCACGGTGTTTCAGGTCGTAGTCGTAGGCTGCAAACTTTAGAGACCAGCGTGTCAGGCGGGGTGAAAGTACCTGGGGGACCGGTTTCTGCGGTTCGAGAATTCCCAGTAGTGGCTGGTGGTCCGTCACGAAGGTTACCGGTCGTCCCGCTATATATTTGTGGAACTGGTTGGCTGCGAACACCACAGCAAGGCCTTCCCGATCAAGCCGAGCGTAGTTGCGCTGAGCAGCACCTAATGTGCGGGACGCGAAAGCTATCGGTGCTTCCGTGCCTTGACTGTCCTGTTGGGCTAGCACCGCACCTACACCACAGAGGCGTCACATGAGATCAGTAGTGGCTTTGTCTTATCGTAGTGCGCCAGGACAGTCCTCTTCAGGATCAGTTTCTTGAGCTCTTCAAAAGCTCTTTGATGTCTTTCTTCCCTTTGCCATGGAGCGTCATTCTGTAGCAGCTCATACAGTACGGATGCTACTGCGCCTCTCTGTTCTAAAAACCGGTCGTAGAAGGCCAACATGCACAGAAATGACTGCAGAGTCTGCTTACTAGTCAGAGCGGGTGCTTCCACTATCGCTTGTACCTTTTCGTCTGTGGTGTGTATGCCCTTAGCACCAACCTTGTGGCCAAGATATTGTACTACCAGTACACTGAAGCGGCACTTAGCGTTGTTCAGCCGCAAGTTTGCCTTTGCCAGTCGCTGTAGCACGACTGACAATCGTTCCTTGTGCTCTTGTTTTGTGGCACCACTGACAATGATGTCGTCGAGATAGACACAGACACTGGTTTGCCGACTCAAGGTGGTCTCCATGAACCTTTGAAATATTGCTGGCGCTGCTGCCCCACCGAAAGGAAGCCTCTTCACCTTGTACAGTCCTTTTACTGCGTTTACGGTGAGCAGCTCAGCCGTAGCTGCAGTCACGTGAAGTTGTTGGTATGCTTGCGCTAGGTCGAGGGTGCTGAATGTAGCTTTTTCCCGCAGACTGCTCAACACTCCCTCCGTTGTAGACAAAGAATAAAACGACTTTTTCGTGGCCTCGTTCACGGTGCTGCGATAGTCACCACAGAGACGAACGCTTCCATCCTTCTTTCTCACCAACACCAACGGTGTGGCCCAGTCAGAATGTTGTATAGGCTCCAAAATGCCTTACTGTTCCAGTCAGTCGATCTCCGTCTCTACGGCTGAACAGAGCGCAAAGGGAACGAGCCACACTTTCAGAAACTTGGGTCGCGCTTCATCTCTTAACTCCAGCTGTACTGGTGCTCGTACATGACCAATGATGGTCTCGGAAAAGCCTGACTGAAATGTCTGCAAAAGCTGTGTATTGTTGCCATCGTGTTTGGTTTGGTGAATGCCAGTTACTTGAATGTCAAGTGGTCCAAACCAGTTGCGTCCAAGCAAGTTGCATCCAGCGCCTTGGACGACAAGTAATGGGAGCTGGCAAGTCTTTTTTGAGTGGCTGACATCCACTGTTGCTGTTCCGAGGACTTCAATTTTCTGGCCTGCCCAGGTGTGCAGACGAATGTCTTCTGGTTGTAAAACAGGTGGTTTTGTACGCCATACATCTCGAAAAGTATCACTGCTGACCAAGGTGCAAGCGGCAGCTGAGTCAACCGCAAATGTCACTGGTTGACTCTGTACAGTGAGTGTCACTGTGAGGTTAGGGGTAGTGGACTCACTTGCTGCTGAGTGAAGATCATGTAATGTTGACATTTGTTGTTCAGGAGATTGAGGCTCTCTTGATGTGCCCAAGTAGTTGTTGCGTTGCGGCCCTTTTTATGTAGCTTTTTTCTTTGAAATGAAGGCTTTCTCGATATGGCCTCGCATCCGACAGTAGTGGTACGTTGCTGTCGCGAACTTGCATGAGTTGGGGCTGTGTGCTTCGTCCCGGCGCCAACAGCGTTGTCCTTGCCCAACCTGCGTCTTGTGAGAACTCCTCAATCCTGCGATGGTTGTGGCTTTGTTCACTTCCGAGTGGTCGGATTTCAACTTTTGTTGTTGCTGAACAGCGCTCTCCGCCCGGACCACGAGATCATAGGCCTTGGAAAAAGTGAGATCCCTCTCCGCGAAGAGTCTGCTGCTGGACGTGCTCGTCGCGTAGACCACACACTAGCCGGTCGCGTAACATCACCTCCAATGGCTACAACGACAGGTTAGCAACCCTAGCTGCAGCTCCTGTCTGCAGCGTGGTCGTTGCTCCAACGTTCGCTGTTTCAGTTGCAGGTGGCATCGTTGTTGCGATCGCCGATGACAGCGTTCCAAAATTAAAGTGTTTAACTAACTTGCGCAGCGCTGCCACGTAGTCGTTAATTGATTCTGCTGCCAGCTGGTTGCGTTGCTGAAACATGGTCCAACTGTACACCTCAGACGGGAGAGGGTCAAAGTGCGCTTGTAACGCACTAACAATGTCGGTGTAGCTCACCTGGTCCGGCGTGCTGGGCTGTAGGCGCGCACACAAAATGTCGTAGTTATGTGCTCCGCATAGCGTGAGCAAGTGTGCCCGTTGCTTGATTGGGTCGGTCACGTCGTTCGCTTGAAAATGAAACTGGAGACGACCGTACCACGATGTCCACCGTTCCAGCCGCTAAACTCTTCCAAGCGGCCGGCGAAGTCAGGTGTGCGGGCTGCCATACTTGCGTCCGCTTGCGTTGTGGGGTTATCCACGGGGGTCGGACCTAACTCGTCGTCAGTGTTTACTTAATAATTCCGTTTATTATCGGAACACGGTGAGCAACGCCAACATGGCAACAAACGCACTCGTCGAACAACGTCTTCACTTCGCCGTCTTTTGTCCTCTACTCCCAACTGCCTTGGACATAACAACATAATTTGGGATCTTGTCTCGGTAATAAGACTCAAGAGGCTCAGAATACCGGCTGGGATGCGCAAAACGTTCTGTTCTGCTGCTAATGAAACTAGTGTCAAATCGTAGTCACCTTCACCGTTTTACGCCGTTTTTGCTGAAATGTTTACAGGAACATGGTGTACCATAATTTATATTGGTTTTGTAAAAACAATAGCACTGATGAATAAAATCAAATGTTAGATATGCACAAATGAAAGCGAATGTCACGCAAAAATAGATTAACGATGCAACTTTCTTGTTTCAGCCTCTCCTATCAAGTAACTTAAACATTGACAAAACGGAAGAGTACCACTTCATGAATGCAATTTTAGGAGAAGGATTGTTGACGAGGTAATACATTTTAACAATATTCTAACGTTGAACTTAAATACTCGAACTGGCAGCAGTACTTTTTGTGTTTATGTAGTTTTATCAATAACAAAGATAAATGTAGATAAAGTTACGCATTTCTACTAACTGTAAAGCATCAGCAAAAGAATAGTATTAACTAGAAACTTGTTATATTTCGACTCTATTTTTTTCAAAACTGTCAGCTACGTAATTAAATTTTACTGTTGCTTTGTATACATCCTTAATGCAATATTCAAATCTTATTGTGTCATGCTTTCAAAAAAAGCTAAAAGAACTCCCCTTTCATAACTTTTCTTGAGAGCATATTAGCTTTCAAGAAAAGCTAGAAAAGGGGAGTTATTTGTCTAGCTTTTGTTGAAATCTGGGATTTCTCGAAAACGCGACCGTGAAAATATAATTGTCATTTTGGATATGCGAGTGAAAGGAACTGGCCGTAACAGCGGTGCATTCTTTCTTTTCAATCTCAAGTTCCGGTGCAAAATGGAGAAAAAGGCGGAAAATGCTCACCCCTGCATTTCACTTCCGAGTGCTGGAGAGTTGCATGACTATTTTCAACGATCAGGCCAGAGTGTTTTTGCATAAACTTCACGAGTCTTCGCATTTGGATTATGTCGACATATTCCCGATGATGACACACTGCAGTCTGGATATCTTGTGTGGTAAGCTATTTGAAAAGTTAGCTCGCAACTTCGAAGGCAGCTTGCGATATTTTCGAAACTCCAAACGTGGTCTTCGCAAGAGCGACCTAAAGATGACATAATGGAGAGTAAATAAAATGAGACGCTATACTATCATATTATGTTATTAACAAATACAAACTCGCCCAGTTCAACTTTTTGAGCCATTGAAATGTGATTTGCTTCAAGTTGACGCGCCCATCTTAATAGAAAGAAAAAAAAAACACGAAGGACTGAAGTACAGATCGTTACTGTTTTGTGTGTTTTATTTATGTCTGTCTTTAAGCCAAAAAAGAGCAACCTTAAAACGAAGCATTATAAAGTTGCCACAGTTATATTCTTTCTGTGATTTTAAATAAGAAATAAAAATCAGGCGCTCAGATGTCAATGCTGCAGGTACAGGGAGCGTGCGTCACCTAAAGGGGGCGCCGATCCAACTGATGTGCACGCCTAATGATACTGTTGGGAGCCGCACCGCGGCGCCACGGTCTTGTCGCACGCTTTCCATTGTCACTCTGCAACCAATCAGATTGATGTGTTGTTTATTAGGAACGCCGAAGAAGGAATCATGTAGTTGACACTGAAAGAATAAAACACACATTTGGGACGGACGACCAATCGTTCATCTTGCAACAACATGATTGACTCCAAATTCACGCTTTGTAGTCCGAGCCGTCGGTAAAAAAAAAGAGAGAGAAAGAGACGTGAAAAGAGAGAGAGCAAAGTGAATAAAACGCGTTTAAAAGCTGTAGGAAAAAAGAAAGAAAGAAAGAACGAGAGGATGATTTGCCTAGAAACTACGTTGACAGATGGGAAAGGATAATGAACAAGCAACTAAGCCTTTCTGGCGTCAACAATTCAGTTTGAGTTCTAGAAACACGGAAACGTTATTTTGGACTGTGTTCATAGTGAATGTCTTGATGACTTATGTACCGTATCTGCTCTTGTGTCCCCCCAATATTCTAGTAATGATCGTACGACGGTGAGCAGCCATGTTACGTGCGGGCATGAACAGCGGTGGGGTGAAACGATTCGGCAGAAATCCGTGACACTTCTAAGTGGTGCGGTGCACTCGAAGCCGGTGCTCTGGAAGCGTCAGTTATCGTGAAACCAACACGATCCTCATTTTCCTTTGTAAGGAATCAGGCAGCACATGTAAACAATGAGCCCTGCCGTTCTTACTTTCTCAGTGGCAGGGCTTATTATCCTCATGCGCTGCATGGAACTTTATTAAATTAGCTCAGTTACGGAACTGCTCATAGACGCTGCGTGCACTAACACTCACCACCACTCGCCTGCCGTCGCTCGACGCGCCGGACGGCTGCTTTGGCAACTGCAGTGTATTCTATGGGATACGTACGTTTCGAAGCAAGGCGTCCAGATGGCGTTTCAGCTCTGCTCGATGCAGGCTCTAGGGAACGCACAGTTATGAAACGAAAATCTAGATGGCGCTTCGAACGACGGCAGACAGATTGAAGTGAGTGAGGGGGGTACCCCCCTTCCACGGGAGTTCCACAACTGAGGCAATCTAGTAACGTTGGCTGTCTGATACCTTCGGCCTTCATAGTGAGTAGCGCTGCATTCTCATTGGATGTGAGGTGATAATGGTAAGCGTGCGACAAGACAGTGGCGCCGCGGTGCGGCTCCCAGTGAAGTCATCTGGAATGCACATCAGTTGGATCGGGGTGACCCCTTTGGGCGTCGCGCGCTCCCTATAATTATTACAGTATTCCGTCCAATAATGTTCATGTAGATTTCAAATTTTATTGCAGATTTACGAACTGGCATAAAGACAGATTGACTGCAGTCCCTTAAGTTGTATTGAGATTGTTTCTAAAGGCACGTATACGTGTCATGTTTATATGCATTTTGATGAAAGACATGCTGACCCAATAAAATATTCCTGAATTTCGAACTTTTTTTTGCGAGGGCATTCATCTCGAATAAGGGTCTATCAAGTTAAATTCTTAATATGATAACTGTAATACAATCTTGCAGAATCAGCGATGGGAATTAAACTGCAATCGCAGGAAACGTCGAAATACCACTATGTACAGAACTTGCACTCGTAAGTCGTATTCCAAACGTTCAGCTAACTACAGCGGCACCACAGTTATATCCCAACAATTGTGCGTGTTTTATTTTTCACAGGATCTTGACCGTCGGTATGGAAAGGCTGAACAAACCCTGGCTCTGGTGGAATGTCGCTTATAGCTTGTCACATCAAAACAGAAATTTCAAGACCACAGCCCTGCAAATCAACCAGTTCGTCAGAGAGGTATTTATGAACATAAACCTCATAACTTAAAAGAAAGAAAACTTTGGGTACGGCGCAAGGCCATGTGCTCACTGTTGGCATAGTAGGTTCCCCCTTATTCTGAAGAAGTGGCGCTGATATCGCGGGACATGGAGTGATCATAGCGTTATTACTACTCATCAGAATGTGCGTGTATATTTACACTGTTGGCTAATTCAGTCACTTAGTTTTCCACCTACAACGCAGTGTTTTTATTGCTGAATTTTCTCACAATGGCGCTGGGCAAATAGAATATTTTCAAATATTCTAGCACGGTTGTAGTAACTTATTTTTTTTTCTAGGTAATTCAAGAAAGGAAAAAGGTGCTGTGCAGCGGGGAACAGTCTAACGGACCAAATTGTGCTAAAGCTTTTCTGGACCTTCTCATCAAGCATCACATTGAAGACAGGTCGTTTACTGAAAAAGACATCAATGAAGAAGTCAACACATTTTTGTTTGCCGTAAGATACTGTCCTAAATGTGCTGCTGCATTTCTGACAAAGTAACATTTTCACCGAAAATTCCCGAATATTCTTAAATATTTGTTTTTATATAATGTAGCTTGAATTTGTTGATTTTAATTTTAACTTGGGCTTTTGTGCACCTGGAGCCCTAAGTATTATTAAATGAGATAACCAAAAACTTCCCTTTCAACAAGGATACGAAAGAGTAGTTATTGCATTTATGAATATTTATCCAGCATTCTCATTTACGACCTTCTCATTTAATTACCAGTCATGCCAGATATTTAAAGTATGTTTTTAAAGTTTCATGAAACAAATGGAGAGGGTTTTGATAGTTCCTTACCCTAGCGAAAAACCCAGTACAACTTTCCACTATCTGGATTATGGAACTGAAAATCTATCTGGATTCTATCTGGATTTCGGGTTTTTGAAAAATATCCATTGTCTGCAATCTGAATTTCAGGTTTCCAATAATAGGTTTCCAGTTCTATAATCCAGACAGTGAAACGTTATTTGGGTTGTTCGGTAGGGTACCGAACTATAATAACTGTCAGAGCGTTAAGGTTATTACCCTTGTCGGGTATAATTTTATGTAATTCAGCACCATAATTTTTTTAATACTACAATTTTATATTGAAATAGTTCTAGAATACATAGCTTCAAATACAAGATATATGTGGCTACAGTGTTACATGCTGCTACTAACCTATTAAAGAAAAATATCATAATAAAATGGTCATGACATGATTATGGTGTAGGGAGGTTAACATTTTTGAATGTTGCCATAACCATTTCAAAGGCGCGACGTTTATAACGAGGTCATGAAGGAAACTTTATGGTAAAAAGACAGATAATGCAGTTTGGAAAACTGCCAGATAAGTTTAAGTTGCTATCAGTTACCTTTGTTTGTTAGGGCCTGTTTTATAAATGTTTAATTTTAGCACCCCCTTAAAATTTATGTCCTATGATCTTGGCTAGTATTATTCACACTACTGGTGAAATGTTTCGCTATGAAGCTTTTGTTAAAATAAACATCTAACTTACGTGACACAATAAAACAGGTTATACTAAAAAGGTACTATCGGGGAACAATGAAATGCGTACAGAGGAGCGCGTGGCTCGCGGTACAGGCTGCGCCGCCTGGAAGTGAGCCTAGGAGCGAGGGTGCGTGGCCTACTCCGACGTGTTCACGCCCCTCCCTCTGCGCTCCCCAAGCTTCAGCAGTGCGCATCTTAGTGCGCTGAAAGCTATCACCGCTATCTTTGCTGGCTCAGCGCGTGCGGTGCAAAGAAGCTCGCCGCACTCGCCGAGCAGGCAAAGATAGCGGTGACAGCTTTCAGCGCACTGAGAGGCGCACTGCCGAAGCTGGGGGAGCGCCAATCGAGGGGCGTCAACACATCGAAGTAGGCCACGCACCCTCGCCCCTAGGTTCACTTCCAGACGGCGCAGCCTGTACCGCGAGCCACGCGCTCCTCTGTTCGCATTTAATTTTTCCCCGATAGTACAAAAGCCGATGTGACTAAGAGACATAATGTACTTCTTGCCAACTAACAACTATACCGAATCAGATAAGTCAATACAAATACATGTCGACCAATCGTGTGATATCCCGATTTGTGTAGATTTCCCGTAAGCGTCAATATAAGGGCTATACATAACCCCAACACTCATCTGCTCTAGGGACACGAGACTACTGCGATTGGAATGACATACGTTCTATACCTCCTCGGTCTTCACCCGGATATCCAAGAAAAAGTCGCTCGGGAGCTCGACTCCATATTCATGGGCGACACGGAAAGAGAAATCACGAGAGAAGATATATCCGCCATGAAGTACCTAGAATGCGTGATCAAGGTGAGACATACAGATGTTAGGTTGATTCAGATGCAATAGGAAACGAACTCAGAAATGAAAATCTTTATTCTCTCGAACAAAATACGCGCCAGAAAGAAAACATTTTGCAACACACCCCTTAACACGAAGCTGATTGGGGAAGAGGTCAATATCTGCGCAATGTGTTTTTTTTTTTTTTTTTTAATGTTTCCACAGTGGGAAAATCAAGAATGTGTCTAGGGCGAATCACACTGAAAGTTTCTTCCTACTTGCGTATTACATATACTTTACAGGAGTTTTTTGTATTTCTGTAGGAATGTCAGCGTCTGTACACCATCGTACCCATCTACGGGAGAAGAATTGAGGAAGACATGTCTATTGGTAAGTTCAACGAAGAGAAAACTTGTTACAGATTCAAGTGGCTCTCTCATACGTACGTGAACATGTAGCCTACTTAAATGGGGATTTTCATGTGGATTGTATAGTAATATATGAGCCGATTTATTTTACGGCGCACACTCGCCTATTGAAGTTGCGAAGCGACAGTTTCCGAGTACGGCATGACTATACTCACCTTAAATTCGACCGCAGCCCACGCTTTGACCCAATGGAGGCAATCAGGCGGCACCAGAGGTGCATCCTCACGGAGCTCGTGGTCTATTTTCGGATAGACCAACCGGGGAAAGAAGTGTTTTACTTTTTGAACACTTTTTTGTTTGCCTCGGTGTTACATCCTCCAAGTATATCTTGGTGGCGGTGGGCCTCTTTTTTATGATTATTACTCGCTCTGACAGTCGCGTTTAAGGAGAATATTTCCAAGTAAGATGCATAAAATGCCAGCATTAAAAAGCCGCTTTCTTCACGCACCGTATCTGTTGGCAATGTTGAAAGTATGTGCCGTTTCGATGGAAAATCCCCTTTCAAGATAGTAAAGACGGCTGTCCCACGGCCGCCACAGTCATGTCGGTGGTGGCTGTACTCAGACTCATGACCGCGGTACAAACGCCGAATCTGTGCTCGAGTAACGCAGTTCCTTCTAATTGCAAATAAAGGACCCATTCATCTTCAATATATTAGAGCGGAATGCGATATATTACCCTTCTTGTTTTTTCATCGCGAGTTCCTCGCGATGAAAAAACAAGAAGGTTAATTTTTTTATGTTTTCGAACATATGTTTCTACGAAATCTAAGTTTCTAGATTTGTAATGCAAGGAAGTTGCATTTTTGTTTTAATATTAAATAGATAACGAACACCTGCAGTTTCGTATTGACGTCGTTTTTCGAATTAGTGCTTAGTGCCGCATATTTAAAGATATGTATATATTTGGAAAGTCTCTTTATTATACAAATTTAAAGAGTCACAAATCAGTGGAACCTTGCAACTGGGCAACGAACTTTGAGGGCTTATTTCTGATAAACCTGGCAAACCAGGATAAAAAATATGAGAAGCGCTACTCCAGCAGTTTAGTCTAAAACTCTGCCTTAAAATGCTTAATTTTCCAAATTTGGATAGTATTTTAGTAGCTGGTCTGATCTATTTTTTTTTATTCTGTGCTACCGGAACTAGATTGGTTTTTTTCTGGGGCCTTTTCTTTATATTTCTGTTCAAAGTCGTTTAAAATATTTCGACAATGAAGCGATATTTTGAAGCTTGGCTATGTACGCGAAAACCGCAATTAAGAAAAATTATGAGTTATTTTGAAAAGGAAGTTGGGAATTTTCCTCAGTCACTTTTAAACTTATTTACACGACTGTAATTTTTTTGAAAAGCTAACTAATAGTTGTAAGTATCGCATATTATTTTAACATTAGCAGACGACGCAAAGTTGCGCCATTTTTTGCTTGTATAGATAAGCAGTTCTAGGTGATGTTCTCAAAGACGAAAAGGATGGCGCCTCTAATCCTCGTTACAATATTGGCAACTTCGGGCGCCTAACGCAACCTTACGTTGGTGAGGGCATGACGTCAGTGCGGGCATGCCGTGACCTCTGGACCCGTAATAAAAGGCCGCACATATGCCCCAACCTCAAGCACCAATCTGAAGCACTTGCGTGCTGCACGTGCTTGAAGTTGTATGGCGTTGGTTTTTCGTGTGAGAATATACTCCGTATTATACTTAATGGACAACGCCGTCAATGTGCTGGCGCGAGCTCGTGACTTCACCTAATGTCTAATGTGCTCGAGAGCAGAGGTGGCAGTAATAACATTACTGTGATGAAATTACTGTAATTTAATTACTTTTTTGCTGCAATGAGTTACTTCTCTACGCTAGTAATTAGTAATCTGATGAATTACTTTCAGGCAGTGATTTTGAGGAAATTACTCATTACTTTTGTAATTACTTTTTTCGAGGCCCATCTGAGAACAAATTTTGTGACATGGGGTCGAGAGCGAGACAAACACACAAAGGCGGGTTCAAAAGACGAAGCGGATGAAGGAAAGATTTCGAGTGAAGACATAGCTAGACGGCCCCGGTTCACGAAACCCCAGTCAAGACAGCTTCAAGGCGAAAAGTAATCGGGGACCGATCCGGGCTACAATGTGGAGAGCACGTCACTATCAAGATAAACACATTTTAAAACGTATGACGAGGAGTCATGGGTTAATCTCAAATATCTTGCCAAGAATCCAGAACTTCTCGTGAGTTGCCTTGTCCTTCGTAGGTGAAGATACGTTTTTTTATGCTCCGTTCACCCCTAAGCTCGCAATGCGGTGAAAGCTGCTCGCTCGTTAGAACAGCCGTGCGTCGATCTTTCGCCACTTGTTCTCACCACTGCCAATACACAGGTGCAGAGAGCAAGGTCAGGTGATAAAAGGGAGGCGGTTTATTGGTCCTACGAGCGCGTAGCTACCATGGCACTATCAGCTGAGGGGTAAACGGAATAAGGTCGGCAACGGCGAAAAGCGAGCAAGGCAAACTCACATTGGGAAGTTAGAGTGACACTGAACCAAACAATTTAGTGTAAATAATAAGTTACACACGTTCTTTCCAGAAACCAGCAGCCGCCGGCGTGCGCGAGCAAACGCTCCGAAATCGACTTCATAGTCCCCATTGGCGCTTAAGATGACAGTGAAATATATGGGCTTCGGGCCAAAAGAGAATAAACACAGGCTTTTCGTCTAAACAAGTGAAAGCTACATGCTTGATAGACCAATTCATCGCTTATCTTTTACACCAGACTCCACGGTGGCGATGAAAATTTTTGTATTTATTTTCCTTTTCCCTGGAGTCCACACATTTCACTGTCACCTTAAGCGTGAATGGGGGACAATGACGTCAATTTCGTAGCGTGTGCTCGCGCACATCGGCGGCTGCTGGCTCGAGGAAAGATTGTACGCCACTTATTATAGACACTGAAATGTATGGTTCAGCAGCCCTTTAAGTCAGGGAAAAGCATACGCGCAGGTATAGTCGCTGCTTCGTTGGGGAAGGGCGCATTTCTGACGTTTTTTTTTCCAGAAAACATACAGCCCCCTTACGTGCCAACGCGCAATAATTTGCGCTCTTCTTCTGGTGTTATGGAAACATACTCGTTGGAGAGAGTGTCCGGCCATGAATGCGTCAACCAGTGCTCTTGAGAGAAAACGATTCGACAACATCCGAGTCAGAAGAAAGAAAGCCTTCGGCATTTGCTCAACCTTGCACAAAATGGATTCGCGAACGATGGATCCCATTCGGAAAAAGCCGCATCAGGTGCTGTTTAGCACATCCTACGATAGTCGTTACGAATTCATGTAAAAATTAGTTGCCATGGCCCGACCAACAAAGTGGACGACTTCTCCAATATCAGGAGGACGCGATCACATCAGAAATTAACCGATCAACTTCACCGTTGAATGAACAGCGAAAACGGTGAGCTGTCTGTTTTAGTCGTATGTTAAGAAGCCTTAAATTATGTTTGGCACTTCCGTAGTCACAGCCAAGAAATAATGCTGGAAGTAATTTACAAGTAATTTCGAAGTAATTTAACTTTTTCTCAAAAGTAATTGTAATGTGACATAATTACTTTTAGTCTGCGGTAATCTGTAATATAATTTAATTACACTTGATTTGAGTATTTATGAGGAAGGTATAAGTAGTGTAATTTAATTACTTAATGACAGAATTACTTTTGAAAAGTAATTTTGCCATTTTTGCTCGAGAGCACGTGATAATGAACCGCAAGATGAAGCCACGCACTAGAGCCAGCAGCTTTGACAGTGCTGTGCTGGTTGTGCACTAAATGCAAAGCAGACTATACAAGACTCGCATTAACGTCACACTAGCGGCCATTATGATGGCCTTGCTACTGAGCGCGGACCCATGGGGAACATAATTTTGCATCACTGCATTTGTTTTTCTTCACTAGAACATGTAGGAATGAGCATCATCATGGTGCGCTGATGTCACGGCAAGTCATAAAAGTGTGATTTAATAAAATGTCTACAAAGTGCCATGGTTACAATGGAACTCAGGGAGAAGGAAAACGGTTAAAATCTCTAGTTAAAGAACAAAGGTGCACATTAAAAATTTTTAACTGTCATGAGCGATTTCTAAGTTACGTTTCTATGAAACTTTGTATTACATGTTCACATAACTACATGCTGATCGAGGTTCTACATGATTAACTAACTACACTCTTGCTATACTTCGGCTCACCTTAAATCCAGACGCAGCCGACATTACGAGCTGACGGTATCAATCAGACAGCGTGAAAAACGCATCGTTATGGTGTTTGTCGTGGTTGTGTTTCTTTACGTGTTCTATCATCACTGAACCAATCATGTACAGGCAAGGCCTTGTGACTTGAGCTTGTGGCGCTGCTCGATTTGTTCCATTACCTAGTAGCGTCGGCGGCGTCTCGACTTAAACTAAAACGAAATAGAGCACTTTTGATTTTGGTAGCATTTCTGCACGCCTCTCGGCTTTTATATTTGTGGATACAGGAGAACAAAGATAACAACATTCGATCCGCCAAACCACAAAAAATAACGGTTTTGTTCCCCGAAAAAATTCAGATAAGAAATACAAATCGAGCCCTTCATTTATATCAAAGGCTGCTTATCAAGGATAGCGCGTCGCGACAACACGGCCACGTTGACCCTGAGGAGAATGACGGCGCGAAACTCGGAGGAGCTGAGCCACATCACGCGGCCTCTGAGCAGAACAGACGTGAAGGAAGAACGCCGGTGTCGCGTGTATGGTGGCTAGTTGTATGCAAACTCGCGAACAAACGTGCATCGCCACCCTGGCTGTTGAACTACCGCCTTGCTTAAGATGGCGCTATGAGAACGCAGCCTAAACAATTCAGCGTTGGCTGTACCCGACGTTACTAGACCAACTCAGTTGGGAAACTACCGTGGAGCCTGCTTTGAAAAAGTGGCTCCTATCCAGTGGTGTAGCAACGGAGGAGAGTGGGGGGGGGGGGGGGGGGGTAGGGGGAGGGAGAGTGGTAGTCTCCTAAGAGTAAGCAGACGAGAAAAAAAAAACGTAATCCCCCCAACGTGACGTTGTTAATCTATTGTTGCCATGAGTGGCAGATTTGTGACTTCTTTTATGTATTCTCTTCTAGTTTTACAGGTTTAGGAACTTTTCATTTCTTTTAGAGGAAAGGCTAAGTTTCACTTTATGCAGTGAAACTGCCGCAGTGTTTAACGTAATATTGACAATGTTAATTTCGTTATGGAGAATTTACGTCCTAATGCTCTCTCTTTACAGGAGACCCACCTCATTGATCATCATAAGTCAGTAATGCGCCGCCATAAAGTTTTTAGAAAAGATCACCATGCATCAAATTTATCTGGTAGGGTAGCTGCGGTCGTCCAGAATTTTGTTGCCTGTTTTCAGGTTCCTCTTACTACGCCTCTTGAGACTGTGGCTGTACGTGTTCTTTTGGGCCGCCTTATTAGTGTTGTTTCTAATTATATTCCACCAAACATTCCCCTGAATCTTCATGATATTCAACGATTGGTTACACAGCTTCCTCAACCATTTTTCCTTTTGAGAGATTTCGAATGCTCCCATCCCTTTGTGGGGTAGCGCCCGTCAGGACTCACGTGGTGGGGTAATTGAGAGGTTTTATTGTTTTCTTCTTTGCCTTATGAATACAAAAGAGCCAACATTTTTTAGCGCAGCTCACAGCTCATTTACATCTATTGACCGTTCAATTTTATCCCCCTCAGTGTTTTCTTTATTTACTTGGAAAATTTTTAATAATTCGTTTGGAAGTGACCAGTCTCCAGTCGTTCTGGAGAGTCAGCTAGGTTTTTATTCCAAGCCTTATTAAACGCAGTACTCGTTGGAGTTTGTTTGGTTTAAACTCGGAGCTCAAACCTTTTGTCTGCTTGCTATTAACGAACAACCACATACATTACAGATCAGATCATGAATGCAGCCTTTCGCTTCTTTCTTCAGACTTCTTGTAACATTGCCAAAAAAATGTAAGCCATAGAAAAAAAAAGTGTTGCACCACCACAAAAAAAAACAAAAAAAAAACACAGGATAAGGTTTGAGGTATATTTTGGAGACACCCGACATCTGTGAATCTGATCTAGTTTTAAAGAACAGGGGCTCAAGCTCGTTCACCCAAAAAGCAGGCAAAGGTTATATAACCTTTATGAGCACCTACGTTCCAGCAAAGGAAGCGTTGTAACGACCTCACAATGTCGAAGGCAAATATCGCTGCTTTACATTTCCTCTTTTTCTCTCCGTGGACTCGTTATACGGCCAGGCTAATGTGTTGGGCGAACATTTTGCAGTCACTTCTAACTCCTCCCATTACTCTTCAGCGCTTTTGAAGTTCAAGACAAACGCGGAAAGAAAGAAAGTCAGCTTGGAAGGAGTAGGCTCTGCACCCTGTAATTAACCATTTACAATAATTGAGCTCCAAATGGCTCTTAATTTTTGTAAGCATTCGTCCCCATATCTTGGCCGAATACACTACGAGATGATCCGACATTTGTCGAAGGAATCACTCGCTGCCTTTCTCACTTACTTCAATGATCTGTAGGAAGATTCATGCTTCCCTTCCGAATGGAAGCGGGCAGGGGTTATTCCGCTGCTGAAGCCTTGGAAAAGATCCTTTCCTTCCAGTTACAGACCATAAGCGTTGACGAGTTGCTTGGGGAAAACTTTTGAAAGGTTAGTTGACAAACGGCTTATTTATTTCCTTGAACAGCATAATATTTTAGATATAAATCAGCGCGGCTGTCGGCATGGGACGCTCCACGACCGATCATTTACTTCGGCTGGAGACAATTGTACGCGAGGTATTTGGGAATAAGCAGCTTTTTGTATCAGTATTTTTTTACTTGGAAAGGCCTTATAATACCACTTGGAAACATGACATCCTGCGCGACCTTTTTATGTATGGAGTACGCGGCAGATTGCTTCATTGCTTAAAGAACTTCCTGTGTGAACCCACTTTCCATATCCGGCTGCGCATAACATTATCTTATTTGTTTGTTCAGGAGAACGGTGTTTATCAGGGCGGAGTCCTGAGTGACAATCTTGTCGAAGTAAAGATTAATTCTCGCTGTCAGGTCAAACCTTCTTCCCTATCGTGCTCTCTATATGTGAATGATATTCAAATTTCTCTTACATCTTGTAATATATTTAGCTGTGAATGGCAGCTACCATAAACAAAAGGACTATTCGGGCGAATGAAAATGGTTTTAAGTTCTCTTCAGAAAACGCGATCTGTGCCCCCTTTTCTTTGTGGCGCGTGCTTTGGTTAGATACGACTCTCATTTCAAAAAGAAATAACATTGCGGTTAGACCAGAGCATAAGTTCCTGGAATGACTTTAGACCGCAAACTTAGCTTTTTATCGCACCTCAAGTGGCTGAAACAAAAGTGTATGCAGACGATGAACACCCTGGAAGTTCTTTCTCACGAGTCTTGGGGATCAGAAAAGAGACGTCTGCTTCGTTGCTACCTTTCTATTGTACGATCACGTCTTGATTTGGGCGCTATCGTGTATGCATCTGCTCGGTCGTCTGCCTTGAATATGCTTGATCATGTGCACCATTTTGGATTGCGTGTAGCAAGTGGTGCTTTTCGAACATCTTTTATCCTAAGCTTATATGTTAACTCTAATGAAAGGTCACTCAAGAAAAGACGGCAGATCCTAAGTCTAGTCTATCTTTACAAGGTTTTATCGGATTCTAGTCATCCAGCCCACAGTTATTTTAAAGTTTAGATTTTGTCGTACCTTTCACCATAAGTGAACTGTTGTTTGACCCTTGAGTATTTGTTTTGAGAACCTTCGTCTCTCCCTTGGCCTGCCTCGTGAAAATGTCCACCTCCTAGAAAGTGCATGTCATTCTGCCCCATGGGATGACAAGTCCATAGCTTGTGATTGGTATTTCACAAAGTTTAATAAACATAATGTCTCCCCACTCACTTTACAAGAGGAATTTATTGCACTTCCAAAAAAGTGCAAGAATTATCACCAATTTTACACTAATGGGGCCTGTTCCTCAATATATGTAGTCTCTGCTGTTCGTTCAAACTTTTTTACATAGGTGACACTGCTAAATGGCGTTGGCAACATTTTTATTGCCGAGCTATATGGCGTACTGTCAGCACTTGACTATGTTATCTGGAGCGAAGTGATTAAAGCTCTTTCTTTGTAGAATCTAGGAGCGTTATTACTGCAGTTTGTTCACTTTTAATCCTTCCAAGAACAAGTTGACCCAAATGGTACGCTCTAAAGTTCCCCTGTGCCTCTGGATGGAAAGAATATAAGTTTTGTTGGATCACGAATCATGCGGGCGTTGCAGGCAACGAGGTTGCAGATAGACCGGCCGCCTCCTCGCGTAACCTTTTACCATCACACGCCCGCATACCGTACCATGACAATACAATGCCCATACGGCTTGCACATTTAAAACTGTGGCACTCCGAGTGGGATTTGGCCGATAACAAGCTTCACACCATCGAGCCAGGCCTCGATACGTAGGAAACTTGCTATAACCGGAGCCGTTTCCACGACGTTCTTTTGTGCCGCTTAAGGATTGGTCACACCTTCCTCACCCATCAATACCTGTTTGTTGGTGAGCAATCACCAGTGTGCAAAAACTGTAAAAACACTTTGTCTGTTCTGCCTAATTCTTTTTGGCCTGGTCTTCTACAACACAAGTCCCTTTTTCCTGAGCTTTTCGAGCACTCTATTCCTTTCCATCCTACCCATTTCCGGGGTGAGCAGCCTCTGATATCAATTGACCGTCTTTTAGCTTTTGTTAAAAATATAGGAATTTTACACAAACTATAGAGAAAGTTCTTTCTTGGTGCATCTTTTCTAGTTAATTTTAGTTTACCTAGTTGGGCGCAGTATGGCCATCGGAGCTTTTGTGCCATAAAACCCGCAAACAACAATATAAAAGCAAGAATATAAGGATGAAAAAAAAAACCCAACAGCAGTAATATTAAGGACAGAATACAGGCACTTTCAATAATGAACACCACAATTCGACATACCTTTCCGGATCAAAGTAGGAACAGAATAAAAAATTGTAAAAATAATTCAAAGTAAGGAAAACTGACTGCCTTTTTGAGAGCCCCTGCCTATAATCCGTGCCTGTATGCCTTCATATGGACGTGTTTTTAATGCGAAAGCATTAACTGTCCCATGGAGCGAGCCGACGTTATCAGCCGCGCTAAACGGCATATAAACCCCCGAAGCCGCGATCTGAGGAATTCCAACTTTGAAACCACGCAAAAAGCCACGCTAAACGGCAGTGAAATGAAACCGACGCGAGTCAGTTTCCATTAGCGCCACCTCATGGCGCCGCGTGCCCGCGCCGCATAGGCACTTTAGCGCCGCCGGCAAAAGAAATCGGCTGGCCGCCCTCCGCCCGAGGGCGCCAGCCAATTCCTGCAGCCGATTCTGTGCCGCCGGCACGGCTGAAGTCAGCGAGGTGCGGCAAACTCAAGAGGACGCGCGCAAAAACTACATTCATGCTTTCGCATTCACAAGTCATAAGAAGGACTCAGGTGTACCTCAAGCCTCTTTTTTTTTCTTTACATCTCCACCAACACGTTGCGTTATTATTTTTTTTAATGCCAGACTGTTTGCTCAACGCTCATCTCTACTGCAGCTGACTTTGTTCTCGTTCACAGGAAACTACCAGGTGCCCCGCGGGTGCACATGCATCATCCTCAGCCAAATGGTTCACAAGGACCCGCGATATTTTCCCAACCCATCAGTCTTCAACCCAGACAGATTTCTTCCCGAGAACTGCAAGGGAAGGCACCCGTATGCCTTCATTCCTTTCTCAGCGGGACCCAGAAACTGCGTAGGTAAGCAGTCCAGAGAACGTTACGAACCCAACACGCTAAACACATAAGATGTATACGTTTCAATGCGATGATCAACCCAATGACTCCTCACGTCTTTTTTTGTCGACGAACTTAAGCTTCTCTGAGTTCACTCACTGTAATAGGTTATTTTAGAAACAATTTCGCCGTCTAGTAGATGCCGCGCCCAATATTCGAGTTTGTCATTGCTTGGGCACGTAATTTTGGAATGTTTTAGACACGAGTACTCGGTCAGTGTTCGGCGTAACCTCGGTACAGCACGTATCGAGAACGAGTGATGCATGAGCGTTCGGAAAAAAACTCTGATCTAATGGCACGCTTCGTGCACGAGGAATGGCGACGGCTAATGTTGCTTGATGGTGTTTCGCGAGGTGTCTATTGCGCGTAGTTAAAGTGTCTCCGCGGCACGGCTGCTTCTTGAAATACTACTTTGTTTGCATATAACTCTTCAGCACTCAAGTATCGGCGCCTTTATCGCAGGTCAAAAGTTTGCGATGATGGAAGAGAAGGTCTTGGTGTCGGCCGTGCTCAGGCAGTTTCGGATAAAGTCGCTGGACCACCGAGACCGGCTCATTCTGGTGCCGCTCCCCCTCCTGCACCCCCGATCCACCCAAGGAGGCATCCGGATCAGGTTCACTCCGAGGGAACGCCGTCAACCCCCGGCATGATTAGCTATAGCCACTGACGACTGCAGAAGCGAAGGGTGTGGCTTACTAAGTTCACGCTTCTTGCTTCCTGATTTGTCCTTCGCCGGTTGTATCGGCTAATGCCGTAACCTCATTGGCTACGAAGCGATAATTTGATGGATGGGACTCTCTGCGTTTATTAGGTCTTCACAGATTATCAATCGCCGCGCATGCCGCTGCGCCAGCAACAGTATCATTACCACAAATAAATTCTAGGTTTTGAAGTGCTCTCAGGTTCAAGTGCCACCGGCGAGCAAAAGAATGACATCAAACGAGCTGTGAGGTGGAGGGAACCTATTAGCTTCCAGACGCACTTCCACATTTCTAAACGTGAGATACAGGTAAGTGAGGCTTGAATACCACGGACACGTTTGCCTATCTATTTTTGAAGTCTATACATTTATTCCTCTTAAATATGGCACACAATAGGTCTGAATTTTCCAGACCTAGTGTGTATATAACTGTACGACATTGTTAGCGTCAACATGACATCGGTGTTTTTTCGAGTGTAACGTCACAAATAAATAGATGGTCATCAAATTTTACCGCTTAAGATAGTTCTCTTTAAGAGCATCTTCCATAAAACTTGTAGAAACTTTAATGACACGGCTGGATTAAAAAAAAACACAAACAAAAAAGCGACGATCGCTTGTTCGCGCTAACAATGTCGCGTTGTGCACATTAGCATGTATATCTTTTAAGAAGAAACGTAGGGGAGTTGGTTTGAAATTGTTAGAATGAACACATTTTAATACGGAGAAAATCAGCATCAGCTTTCAAACAGAAGCTATACCTAGACTCAGGCCACTTTTTTATTAAGGTCTTTAGGTTGTCTCCCGTTAATCAGTGGTAGCTAACATAAACTTGGTGTGTCAGATTATCGTTTCTGATAGCGCTCTAGGACGATAATTGCCACCAATTACCAAACTTTTTGTCATATCGAAAGTGGGAAGAAAATCCTCTTGATACCCTTAAAAGAAACACTGCAAAAGGCTACCTGTTTTTGTTTTTTTTAATTGGAGTTAATGACGTAGTTTCAAAAGAAAATAAGAGGAAACGGTCTTCCGTCCTCTGGAAATGTTAAAACAGTCATCAGGAAAGTAAAGCGATGTCGTCCGATCTTCCTGACATCATGTCTAAGACGGAGCAGTTAAGTCGCATTTCCGAATCGTAACGATCGCCTATCGCGCCCGATCTGCACTAAGCACCGAAATGGCGGCTCCCACAAAAAACAAAGGGGAGAATGCTCCTTATTTAGCGGATCTAGCAACACACTGGGAAAGTTATACCCCCTTGGGCAATGAAGTTTGTTTCGACAGGTGGCGCCATCGTACGCGGAATTTTTGCAACTTTGAGACTGCTCGCGGCCGCAATCATTAGACCCGATCTCGAAAGTCATAGTGCCCTGCCGAACTCTGACGCAGAGCTCGCGTCCAACTGTTCAGTGGTTAGGCCTTCCCAAAGTTGCCTATTTTGGCCACCAGCCTCAGTGACTAGCCGCCGACCGAGGCACCTCCTGTCATTGCCCAAGGGCTATTGGTCCCAAGTGAGCGACGACAGCGAAACTACCGCATCGACTTTTGTGTGGTCGCCCTCTTGCAAACCTTTAATGACAAAGACGGTAGGTAGGGATTGGAGAGAACAATGTAGTAACATAACTGTACTCACAAGAATCTAAAACTAAATATGCAGAAGGAAAGATACTCAATGTTCCAAACAAGCAAACAAAAATAGAGGGAGTACTGCCTTAAAAACGTCACGTTAAAATAAGAAAGATTGCACGCAAATACGTAGATGTAGCTCTACATTTGTTTGATTGCAGGTTCCATTATTAATATATGCACTCGAAGAAATCTGGGGCGTCTTGTTTCCTGCAAAGCCACTGTAGGGCAGACAATCCCTGCAATCTACGAAAGAAGCTTGCCGAATGAATAGAACGAAAGTATGTTTACATCTGAAAGAGCAGTCGTGCGCTCTGACACTGATCATGTTAAAACGTCATGCTCAATGTCACAGCGCCATTGCTTTTTTGTTCTTTTGAATTCTAAACATTTACAATGATATTCACTTATAACTAAACCCTATATAACGATACACCGCTTATAGCGATTAGTTGCCAGAGGACCATGCCTTTTTTGCGTGGGGTATGCAGTTCAGATACAACAATAATCGGCTATAACGATTCTATTTTCGTGTTCTCTCATTATCATAATAAGTCGATTGCACTGTATTGAGCTTCGTCATTGCGCGAGCTCCCGCCGTAGATTGCGGCGATTGGCACTGTCAAGGGCTTTGCGGGAAAGTAGGCGCTCAGGATATCTCAGTGTGTAGGCGTACGAGCCTCCGGCAATTGGAATGACGTACGTTCTATAGAAAAACCTGCAAGGAAAAGTCGTTCAGGAATTAGACAACGTCTTCGTGGGAGAAGAGGAGCGCGCAATTATCCAGATAAAGTATATCCGCTAAATAGCCTCAAATGCGTCATCAAGGTGGGGGATTAAACCTCCTCAGCTGGGATAAGTAATGGGGCTCAGGAATGCAAATGATCCCGAAGGGCTGCTTGCGGGAAACTCGAAATTCGAAAGCCTCCTCAGGCATAGAGAAGAGCCGATTGAGGTAAATGTGCAACTGCGTTTGTTTACGTTAGAAGGACATGCTGAAAGTTTGCTTATACGGTCAGCCTATCACCACTCAGGCTCCACTTATAAAAAAAAAAAAAGTATCTTCGGCTCTCAGATACGGGGACATTCTAAATGATTAAATTGTATTTCGTGTAACTCTAGAACAAATATAATGTGTTTGTGTTATGTATGAACAGACGACACCATCCCCAACCTTGTTTAGAACACGATATTAACAAAATAAAGCTATAATCTTGGAATGAAACATAGTATAAGGCACACAAGGAAGAAGACACACACAGAAACACACCAATTTTTGTGTCCGTTTCTTTTTTTTTTTTTTTTTTTTGCCTTACATTATGCTTTATAACGTTCACCAACTAGCCCGACTTCAAGATCTTCTACAATTTTGGAAGTCTAGAACAAGCTATATCTTTATTTTTATTTTAACAAATTATCATTTCCGATGCGTTTTCGAGCAGGAAGTGCGGTTTTCATTGGTAAATAAAAACCACATTTTAAAGTAAGGTAAATTATGATACACTTCTTGGCTCACTCAATCGACCGTGCGGCTAAATTGTCAACACAACATTTTTTAGAAATGTTTCGCCATGATAGCGCCATATTTTTTTTTTCATTTCAGTTTGAAATTGAATTTTTTGACAATAGTTTTTGCCCTTCCAAAAGAAATTAATTTGTCTACCGACATCAAAACATAGCGGAAGAACAGTGGAGAGGTGGCTGGCAATCACTGGGTTGTTTTTTTGTTTTGTCCTTCCCGTTTTAAGTTTTTTTATGAAGATCTCATAAGCTACATGCATGCAGGTACTACAAGTTTTCACTGGGCAGAAACATATATTTTTCTTGCACAGATCGTACACCAAATTGCGAACACACTGTCGCCCGTTTTTTTTCAAAAGAATTCAAAAGAACAAAAAAAAAACAATGGCGCTGTGACATTGACTTCGCACCAAAAATATTGTCATAAACATTGAGAGTGTAGTGTAATGTGCGTGTCTTCAACGCTAGCTTAGGTACCTTTAGAGCTCGACACTAAGTTCTATGAATAAACTGTATTAAAACGCTAGATATATATATATATATATTTCACTTTTTGCACCAATTGCTACGTGCACTGTATCCTACTATGACTCGACTTAGTAGGGCAGATACGATATGGGCATTTCCCATTAGTTTTTTCGTGTGCAAAATGAGAAAATGGGGTCGTTCAAAATGAACACTCAAGATTTGATTTCATTTGCGATACTGTTACGTCACTAGAAGGAGTAAGTCAACATGTGTGGCCAGCGTTGTCGGACATTCTGATCAAGTTCTAAAACTTCCCGCCACGTGGCGCGTCGACCTGGAGCGAGATTTGATGGCACGCGTTTCCCGCTACGGAAACCTTCTCTTCATTGCGTCCTTTCGAGTTTGCTCTTTTGCTTCAATCTTTACTCTGGCTTTTACTGAAATAGCTGTCTCACGCATCCCAATCATTCAAGCGCAGAAAGAGAGCGTCGGCTATCCGTGAACAGAGCTAAGGCTCTCCGGAAAGTGCGTCAAGAAAAACATAAGCGAGACGTTTTTGTGGTCGATACCTCAAAGCAGATGTGCATTGTTAGAAATGAAAACTTTCTACTATACTTCGTCCACCGCTAAGCTGACAAGGCGTTATACTTTGTTTCACCATAAGGAAAGACGCAGCCGACGCTACGAGCCGATCGGACCAAACAGACAGCATGAAAAGCGCAACGCCATTATGTTCGTCATGTTCCTGTACGTCTTCTATCATTGCTGACCAATCATATAAAAAAAAGGCCCAGTGAATGGCGCTTTTGACGCCGCTTGATTTGTCCACTATCTCGTACCATCGGTTGCGTCTGGACGTAGCTGAACCGATTTTTTTTTTTTTTTTTGATATAGCAGCTACGTAGACTTTTCAGAACAATGAAGCGCCTGCCATCCGTTGCCTGACCACGCCCTTCGCTCATGAGTATTCGGAGAGGGGTGGATCGTTGGTGCCTGACCGACCTTTCACTGGACCAACGACTGCACAGCTTCCATTGCGCTTTCAGTTGAAAGATGAACGTAGCACAGAGCTGTATTCACAGTGGCGTTCAAGTAAAAAAAAAGAACGCGGAAGAAATCCGGTTGCTTTCATAGCAATATGCGTGTGAAGTTTTATTGAATTTTTAAGCAACTGCATTTAAGCAACCCCAATATTTAAGCAACCGGGCATTCAGTGAGCGGTGTTTGGATAGCTCCAAACATCGCCGGAGCATCCCTTTAAGGCACGTTGACAAAGCGCCTTTTTCTAACGTTATGTTACGTTACAATTGCTTACGACTGCATAGAGATCGGTTCATTCATGGCCATTATACATGGTTAAAGTCAGCGAGCAATGTAAGGAAACTGTAGA